CTTATTTAAATATTTCAGAATTAGGGTAAAATGGGCAACACTGGGGTTAGAGCATGAACTAGACTCCACCAAAGCATACTTTCAACCTTGATTCTTGTTCATATGGAGTGTTCCACCAAGAAATGCCTACAAAGTCTTAACTGCTGTGCCACTTTGTCAAAGAAGCGAGTTTCATAGTAGCTAGGGTCAGGAGGGACCTGAACAGATCATCTAGCCTGACCCCCTGCCACAGGCAGGACTGAATGCTGGGGTCACAAGACCCCAGACAGGTGATCGTCCAATCCCCTCTTGAATTTTCCCAAGGTAGGGGCAAGGACCACCTCCCTGGGAAGTTGGTTCCAGATTTTGGCCACCCTAACGTTAAAAAATTGCCTCCTGATCTCTAACCTAAACCTATTCTCCATCAGCTTATTACCATTGTTCCTCATCACCCCAGGTGGTGCTGGGAAGAAAATGGCCCTACCTATTTGCTGTTTCAATTAATTTACATCTCCAGACCTATCAAATATTTTTATAAACATTTCCTTTGTTTCTAGTCTCATTATATTAAATGGTAATAGATTGAGTGTTCATTGTTTTCTGTTTTTCAGGCTGGAAGAGCAAAGAGTCTGTTCCTAAACTGGTTGCAGACTACATGGAAAAAAAAATTAATTTGGATGGATTAATAACCCACACTTTGCCATTTGATAAAATCAATGAAGGATTTGAGCTGCTGAGAAAAGGGAAGAGGTGAGCAACGTTACTTTATTAATCTACCTAACATTCATTGATCCATTTATTTAAACAGAAGCAAAGGTGATATTTGCTTTAATACCTGAATAAAGAGTGGAATGTTGATAAAATGGGATGAAACTTTAACCGTCTCCAAACCGCACTCTTCTCCCTTCAAAAAACAAATGAACAAAAGAGGTTGGCATCGTTGTACGTGATGGTCAAAAAATAAATGTCTCGGATTCTTAATCCTCGAATTGAATCTCAGGCTATTTTCTAAACTTGGTACATTTCCATTCACTGGAAATCATGGCTATTCAGAAGGTACCAAGAGCCAATTTATACCATATTAGTAGGGCTCTCAATATTTTCTTAGGGCACATACTAAGTTGCAGCATATAGTTTATGGTCTTGAGAACAGCAGATCATGATCCACCATTATCCACACAAAGTAACAAACAAAATATTCTGAGAGAAGTGAGCTTTTAAAACTCTAAATATTCATTTAAAGTTTTGTCTATGTAGGCATAAGGGATCCTATCAGTTTCTCTTTAAGGAAAGAACAGAGTGAGAGTTTATGGGCTGTAATATTTGCCTTCAATTAAAATACAATAAAACTGATAAATCTGTGATATGTTTTCATGGACCGTGTAATCAGAATCACTATGTCAGCAGGGTTTGATGGGATGCTGCATGCATAAGACTAGAAAGTTCCTTTATGTAGGCAAGAGAACTCACAAATGTGCATATTATAACATCACTAGAATCCTCCCTTTATCAAGTATCTAAGCGGACTTTTTGTGCAAATCTTACAGATTTTGAGAATTGGATTCAAATTCTGCTCTTACTTAGATCCATAAATATTCTTGTTTTATAAATTCTGGGTCTTAGCTTGTTGATAGTGAGCATTACATTAATAATAAACTGTTTCATTAAACATTGACAGTTTTCTTCAGAATGGGTCAAAGTTTGGCTGAGCAGTTATTACATTCTTTTATAATTATTTTTAGTTACTAAAATAATACTATCTTATGCAACTTATTTTCATAAAATATAAATGGTTGCAGCGAGTGTTAGGATCATATTGTTATCTCCTAAAATGTGGTAGAGCTACTTCACGTGTTTTCAGTTGAATATATCCATCTATCTATCTATCATCTTCCACATATTTCAAATCTAAAATGAATTATTTCCTTACATATTACTGCATCTGCTCTACATATATTGTTCCCACACCTTAGAAAAACCCATTACATAACTTTTTTTTTCCACAAATTTTTAAAAGTTGAGTCCTGTTTCAAGAAAACAAACCCCATTACATTTTCCCCACTTTCTCCCCCTGCCATCTATCCTGCCACATGCTCTGTAAGTCTTAGATATCTCAAACTCTCTCCTCCTTTCCCCCTCTATCACAACTTTGGGAAATGGTGTAGCCCTTCATAATATACTTCCTCTCCTAGTTTTACATGCTTTAGTGAATGGTGAAACAGCTAACCCATCTTGTCACAAATTGAGCAGCTCAAACCTGTTCACAGGGAGCTATTATTTAAGCTCCCTATGAACACAACTGAACATCTCAGCACAAGTACTATTTGCTCTGTTCTGAAGGTGTTCTGTGCAAATATAACAACTGAGTACAACCTTTCTCTAAATGAAAGCTGAGACCCTGGGCAGTACTGGAGAAGTCTCTCCCTGTCCTCATAGCTAATTCTTGACATCTCCCAAAGGAACATACACCACGCTTTTAGGGCCCAGACAGAAGTGCAGCTCCCCACTGTAACTGAGAATGATTTTCAGGAAGCGTTCTGAGTTACACAATACCCCGAACCTAACAGAAGTTCACAGTTAGTTCCAGGAAGGAGGGGAAGAGAGGCTGGGAGCCTGCAGCCAGTTTCCCCTCCCATTCTGAACACAGGGAGAGGCTGGGAGGGAGGATGTGCCCTTGGGAGGGGGGAAGGGAACAGAGGGAGCTCATTCTAGGGGTTCCCTAGCCAATGCTGGAGGTTCAGGTGGGTGAATTGGAGGCCCCCTCCCCCCCACACACACACCTCTGGGGAGCTCCAATATACCCATCCCATCTTCCAACAGGGGCTGAAAAAACTCCAGACTGAACTCCCCCCGCTCCCTTTCCCCACTCCCATTCTGCAAACAGCTTGGAGGCTGGCAGGCAGGCAGGCAGACAGGTTACAGAAGATGCTATGTATTGAAATGTCTTCATCTGAACCCTTATGCAACAAGGGTTCAGATTTTCACCCCACTGGCCATTTTTAAGCAGTCTGCAGCCACATGCTTGTGTTTGGTCATGGCTATAAACCACTTTCTGCCCAGATTGGGCAAAAATTGTCACTTCTTTCCGCACCCTTAGAAATCACTGCTCTATCAAGAGCATGAAGTATAACACCAAAAAAAAAAACCCAAAAAAAAACAAAAAACCCAAAACAGTTTTCAGTCTGAGAAATGACAGAGGAAGCAGAACTTATCCTCTCTGGAAATGAGAGAACCAAACAACCATCTAGCAGAATGTTTAAACCAGTGGTACCTTTTTAAACTCAAGATACCCATTTTTAGATTCAAGGCACCCCTCAGAAAATACCAGCTCTTGTTTTTTGATTACAGAAAAATAATAGAGCAATGATTTTGTTGCAAACAACTCAGAAAGCCTACAATAAGGCAGAATGTTTTTCCTATGTGAATGTGGCTACCTATGTGAAATTTCAGGATTTAGCTTGTGACTCATAGTTGCACATCTAACACTGCTAACATTGTGGCACCCCATAGCACCCTGGAAAGAATCTCAAGGCACCCCACTGTGCTAGGGCACCCTTGTTGAGAATCACTAGTTCAAACAGTGGGATAACATTACAGGCCACTTGTGACCATACAATCAAGAAGGCTGCATCTCAGGGCTTTGTTAGGTTGTCAAAATTAATAACAAAATAGTTCCAGTTCCACAGATTCAGAATACAGCACACAGAGATCATACAATTGTTCCCAAAAGTAAGTGTCCTAGTGCTGTCCCATGGGGTCTTCCATCTATAACCTCTGTGATAAACAGCAAAAGCACAGAGGGATTCACGAGTGAAATAAATAACATAATACCGGAAAAAAAACAGATGTTAGAAGTATGCATCTGTAGGCTATATGCATCTGCATTCAGCTAAATTTGCAGTCAGTTCTTTCATAATATAGTCAGTTGGTGCTGGCAGGAGCATGCTGGAGGATGGGATTATCATAAATCTTACAATATTTTAGCAGTTCCATGATGCTGGTTAGAGCATGGCTTTTCAAAAACAGCATTAACCTGTCTTCTTATGTTTCAGTATTCGCAGTGTTCTGACGTTTTAAGATCCCAGACTCCTAAGAAGCATGTGAGCTACCAACAGCATGCCACGGCTTATCTAAAATGTCTTTTCCTATGATCTCTATACAGCTTTATTACAAAATATTTGTGGGAAAACCATTCATTACAGCTGACTAACATGGAACAAAGCAGCACTTTAAACATCCAGAGAGATTTTGGAATAATAAAGAAAGAGGAAACCAGCTGGCAGCAGTGGCTGGACAGGAGGGGGGTAGCCCGC